TTTGTAAAAATGCTGGCATATATTTGCTTTATGAACAAAAATTAAGCTGATGTCTCATAACATAATCTTACCTGTAACTGTTTACCCTTATATCTAATATTAAACTCTTTTTCAATTTCTATTTACACTACAGCTACAACCATTAACAATAATAACCAGTCTCAATGTAAATTTGAACGGGATACCTCAAAGTAGTTTTGAAAGAAAATACAAAAAAGAATGTTCATATTTTTACATGTGTATGGGAGCTTTGAATTTGAACATTCTATAATATCAGCCAGGAGTCTTTTATATCATAAATCTGAATCAACAATCATGGTTAGAGGGGAAAGGATAAGTGAGTATTGTATGTTTTATATAAAAAAAGGAAAGTTGACAAAGAAATCCTTTCCCATTTATTCAAAGGTTTTTGCTCCTATAATTGCAGGAGCTTTATGATATGGTGTCTTAATATCTATTTACTAATTCATTTTTCTACTTCAAACTTTGTTAGATTAGCTTCAAACTCTAGGAACTAAATTATGTAAACCAGTGGTTCCCAATCTTTTTTACACCCGCACCACTAAGAAAATTTTACTGTGTCCTTGTACGCCCTTTAAATTTATAGCTTATTTAAGGATAAAGGAGGTGAATTTATACTAAATTTAATCAACAAAAGAAAATATTCTTTTTCATTTTCCAATGATATGTTAACAAAAATCAAACATAAGCACAAGAAAACATGTCCCAAATCATTTGAATAAACCCTACAAAAAACTGATCACTTCCTTGAAATATCTACATATAAAAATCAAAGAACTAACTTTAAGACGTTTATACAAATGAATTTTTAATTCAATGGCTCTTTTCTTCCTGTTTCTTTAATATGAGTAACCAACAGATTAATTGCTTGTCTTAAAGATGGACCCTTTTTGTACCCCTTAGAACCTTGGTTGGGAAACAATGATGTAATATAGCACTAGCAAATTCTCTAGAAATCTCTAAAAAACTAATCTATAATACATACATCATTACTAATGATAATCATTTTGATAGGTCATATCTAAAGTCCTCATGTGAAACCCATAATTGCTAACCCCAAAAAATATCTATGCAATGATTAAAGTCACAGTATGTAAAATGACTTTGAAGTGCTTTACAGTTCTTCAACTGTATCATTATGATACATAAAAGGCAAAAATGATCTGTAAATTACTTATCACAGTTTTGAAGACCCAATTCCTTAACTTCATTAGTTATATGTGTGAAATTATACCATTTTTGAGAAAAAATATTTTTGTTGCATCTTGTTTTAAAATATGTAAATTTAAGATGAAAAATGTGATTGGAAAAAAATGTAGGTACCATTCAGAACACATTCATGCCAGTGCTAAATGACTTTTTATTAGAATAACCCCATTCCCATGTTCCTTTAAGATTAATAAGAAACTACTTTATGGCACATAGTTTTCTACTATTTGTTTTTGGCTGTTATTACTTCATTATTAAATAAATTATATAAAACATCCTTTTATTTAGTGAATACTACTTCATATTTGCACTATCTGTTCTACACAAAAGCTAAAAGATACTTACCTAGTTGTTAAGTCATAGGATACTGAAGCTAGCTGGGTTTCAGCAAATGGAAAATATTTAATTCTGCGGACAGGATACCCATGACCCTGAAAATATGATATTCATTATTTCAAATTCTTAAACAATGCACCTAAAAAAAATACAATTACTTTGTGACACCAGTTGGAATATGTTTCACTTATAAAAAAAAAAAAAAAGTAAGTAAAATCATATATAATTAAGGAACAGCAAGGAAAAAATATTGTCTCAGTAATTTTACAGCTTTCCAAACATGGTACTCTGAGACTATCAATATGAGCAGGCAAGGTGCTCGAAGGAACTGGATGGAAATATTCCTGCAAGCATTTTGATCTAATGTATTTGCTTTAATCTCATCTATACTTCCATTGATATGGTCTGTTACAATGCCACCACAGCTTACAAAGCAGTCTACGAACTAAGACATCTGGCACCTAATTCAATCATTAATTGCACATTGTTCATAGATTTTGCTACACTAATCTCCCTGTTATGGAATACCTCTTTCAAATAAGGGGCTAGTCACTCTAGTCACTGATGCTAACAAAAAGAGGCAATTTCTTTCATGATTTATCCACAGCTACTGATGTTCTAATTCCTTCACTCAAAAAAAAAAATAAATAAAAAAAATCATCTCTTTTTCTCTTAATGCCATGTTCTTGAAGTCTTCCATTTGATCTTATATGATATTTTTGTATGATCAGTAAAACTTTTCTTATTTTCTGTACCAGTACAGCTTCATACACAAATTTGCTTTTGCAATAAACAAAGTTGTGATGAAAACCTCTCACTACAGTTAACTTTCATTAAATAACATACCTGAAGTACATAAACAGGTTCTCCTGGTCGCCGAAGATCCCATCCATATATCTTGCAGTCAGTGCCAGCAGTGGCAATGATATTTTGG